GGAAAAGGTCAGTTTACATTCTGATCCCAAAGAAGGGCAATGCCAAAGAATGCTCAAACTACCACACCATTGCACTCATTTCACATACTAGCAAAGTGATGCTCAAAATCCTACAAGCTAGGCTCCAGCAGTATATGGACCAAGAACTACCAGAAGTACAGGCAGGATTTCGAAGAGGGAGAGGAACTAGAGATCAAATTGCCAGCATACGCTGGATCATGGAGAAAGCTAGGGAGTTCCAGAAAAACATCTACTTCTGCTTCATTGACTATGCTAAAGCCTTTGATTGTGTGGATCACAACAAATTGTTGTGACATGCACATGGTGGGCATGTTGTGAGCGGAGCCAGCTGGTGCCGGGGGTCAGACTAGATGGCCCAGGAGACCCCTTCTGACTCGCTCTGTTTCTATGTTTCTAAATTGTGGCAAGTTCTTAATGAGATGGGAGTACCAGACCATCTTATTTGTCTCTTGAGAAACCTGTATGTGAGTCAAGAAGCAACAGTGAGAACTGGACACGGAACCACTGATTGGTTCAAAATTGAGAAAGGAGTTCGGCAAGGCTGTATTCTGTCGCCCTGCCTATTTAACTTATATGCACAGCACATCATGAGAAAGGATGGGCTGGATGAATCATCAGTTGGAATTAAGATTGCTGGGAGAAATATCAACAACCTCAGATATGCAGATGATACCACTCTAATGGCAGAAAGTGAAGAGGAACTAAAGAGCCTCTTGATGCGGGTGAAGGAGGAGAGTGCAAAAGTTGGCTTGAAACTCAACATTAAAAAAACTAAGATCATGGCATCTGGTCCTCTCACTTCCTGGCAAATAGATAGGGAAGAAATGGAGGTAGTGACAGATGTTATTTTCCTGGGCTCTGCAGATGGGGACTGCAGCCAAGAAATTAAAAGACGCTTGCTCCTAGGGAGGAAAGCTATGGCAAATCTAGACAGCATACTAAAAAGCAGAGACATCACCCTGCCAACAAAAGTGCGTATAGTCAAGGCTTTGGTTTTCCCAGCTGCAATGTATGGCTGTGAAAGCTGGACCATAAGGAAGGCTGAGCGCCAAAGGATTGAGGCCTTTGAATTGTGGTGCTGGAGGAGACTCCTGCGAGTCCCTTGGAGTCTCATAGATGGCAAAAGAAGAAGGGGATAGCAGAGGATGAGGTGGCTAGATGGAGTTGGTGTGAGCTTAAGTGGACTCCAAGGGATGGTGGAGGACAGGAAGGCCTGGAGGAATGTTCTCCATGGGGTTGCGATGGGTCGGACATGACTTTGTGATTAACAACAACAACACTTTCCTCCCTTGGCTGTGGTCCAAAGGAAGACTTGTCCTCTGAACCTTGTATGAGCATTGGGAAGAAATCCCTCACTGGCAACCAAGAGAGGGCTTGCTTGGAAGGCAAATACCGCCTTAGCCAGGCTTACTCTCATGAGGAAGGATGTATCTCCTGCAGACAGTACATTAAGAAGGGTGGCAGATTGTATCACTCTACCTGCCACTGCCTTAAAACACATCAAAATAGGAAAGAGCTCCCAAGCCACATCTACAGCTCTTTGGAGGAGAAGACCCCTCAGCATAAGGCCCCAGTGGGCAGGCTCTCTGAAGAGGCATGTCAGCTGCATTTTTGTAGCAGTAAATACCATTCTAGAAGAGCCAGCTTGAGGCCTTGCTTTGAGGGCCAGCTGGGCAGGTGTTCTGGAGCAGCCACCCACCCAGTGGGCGAATCACCAGGTTCACCACCACCTCCTAGCAGATGGCATTTATATTTGTTTTAAATGCACATACAGTTAACATTCTATTCAGTTTGGCCCTGGGATGTCAGCTAAACTACAGCTAGTGGGCAGGTTCTCCTATTTCATAACAGGATTGAAAAGTGATGCACAAAGAGAATGGTGGGGAGCAACAATCAGGGGAAAAGAGGAATTAAGCAAGGGAAACAGCATGACAGAAAGATAAGGAAGGAAGACTGGCAGGAATAGGCTCTGATATCTGGTTATATCAATACTCTCCTATGATTGCCTCATCTCTGTGAAGCCTGTGTATCTTTTGTTTCTTTCTGATTCTATCCCCGTCCTTATTTTCCTGCCTTCCCATCTCAACCAACTATTGCACATTTAAAAAGAGAGCTTACTGTGTCTAGGATAAAAACTTTCTGCAAATCATTCCTTCACACAGCTCTGCTCATCCTTATTCAACATCCCTTTTTTAAGGGATGTGTGTTACTGCAGTAGTCTGGAAAAATACTTTACTCTGACAAGTGCTATGCAGATTTAGTGCAATAATTTGGACATCATTAAGAAGCAGAAAGAGAGGAAACTAAAGCAATCACATTGCAAGGCTGGAAGTGTGGCACCTGATTTTGCCTCTTAAGGCAAAAACCTATGCATGTAAGGGTAGATCTACTCATGTGATATTTTTAAAAAGCCCTTTATCTATTGCCCTGTAATTTTGTTTTTGTTCAAATTATTTCATCTGCATTCTCATGTGTTGCCTTATCCTTTATTCTGAGTAAACACATAAAGTTCCACATAGTTCACTGGGGCTTACTTCCAAGTAATTAAATATATCAATGTAACCTTAAGGCTGAATTTACTATAAAGCAGTGGTGCAAAACCTCAGGCCTGGAACCCAAATCCAGCTCACCTGAGGTTCCGCCCCCACCCCTGGCCCATGGCTACAACCAACACTTTTCATTTTATTCTAAAAAACCTGGAATTAGGAATATGCAGTGAAATAGGAATACTGGTGACACCAGAATATCTAGGAATGTTAAAACCAAAGGGATCCTCCCAAATGATCTCTTCAGACTGAGAGAATGGGCATCAAAATGGCAAATGCAGTTCAATGAAAGCAAGGAGTACAGCAACCACAGGACCATTACCTATGGATGGTCCTGAAAGAAATGAATGTGCACTTGATTGCCTTGATGCATAACCTATATTGTGGTCAAGAAGCTACTGTTAGGACAATTTGGAGAAACAGAATAGTTTCCCATAGGCAAAGGTGTCAGACAAAGGTGTATTTAATCTCCCTGTGCATTCAATCTGCATGCAAAACATATCATAAGAAAAACTGATTTAGAATCAGAGAAAGGAGTGAAAACTGGCAGAAAGCACATCAATAATTTAAGATCTGCAGGTGATCGCATACTATTGGCAGAAAGCAGCAATGCACTGAAGCAACTACTGATAAAAGTGAAAGAAATTAGGACTGCGGCTGACAAAAATCATGCTACAGAATTTCCAAACTTTAGTGTTAACAATGAACATGTGAAACATTTTACATACCTTGGCTCAGTCATCTATTCAGATGGAGACTATAGCCAAGAAATTCAAAGAAGACCAAGTCTTGGAAAGGCAGCAATGAAGAAAATAGAACAAAATTATCAAGCATAAGGCAATTTCACTGGAGGCCAATATTTTAATATTTTTATAAAATGCATCAAAATTGGTGTGTAGAGAAAAATACAGAAATTAAATGAGGCAAAGAAGGATTTTGATGGAAGATCTGAAGGCAGCTGTACAATATGTACAAGAAATGAAAGCCTGTATTTCAGAGGCAGGTGGAATAACAAGTCCCATAGGTGAGTACAGAATAAATTGATTCCTCGGCAAAAATCCCTGGATGATTTCAATTTGAATTGTAAAGATGCTGATGAGTTCTGAAATACTTTCAGATCTATTCAAATAATAATGCTGCTTTGCTATTTACAGGGAAATGTTTTCTTAGCTCTCTTTCTACATTATAGTTTTTTACATACAGAGGTTTGTCTGGATATAAAAGCAACAAATATCAACCATGTACTCTACAACACACACAACTGTTTTCTTAAGTAGATGTCTTTCAATGGGTGTCTCTTCTGGAAGGAGAGAGTCATTTGGGATTTTTAATTTTTTTTTGGTCATTGTCTGGTTTTAGCTGTTTTAAACTTTTTAATACTTTTCTGATTCAACTGTGGCCTAGTATAGAAATGAAATAAATATGATCATCCACACTCTTATATTCCTGATAACTATGATTGGGTGGGAAAACTGGACAGTGAAGAAAGCTTGACAGGAAAAGAAATGATAGATTCAAAACATGGTGCTGGAGGATAGTTTTGCAAATGTCCTGGACCAACAGGAAGACAAATGAGTGGGTCCTAGATAAAATCAAGCCGGATTTTTTCCTAGCAGCAAAAATGACAAAGCTGAAAGCAAAACTCCCTAAAGAAAATAATCATGCTGGGGAAAATTGAAGGAAGAAGAAAAGGAAGTTGAGATGGATTACCTCCTTGAAGGACTCCACAGCCTTGAATTTGCAAGAGCTAAGCAGGGCTGTCAGGGATAGAACATTGTGGAGGGCTTTCATTCATAGGGTTGCCATCAGTCAGGGACAACTTGATGGTACAAAGCAAGGACATCCAGCATTTTGTTCTGATATTAGCTTTAATATGTCTTCCTTTAACATGTTCTAAACTTCATGGACTGATGAATGAACATCAGTGTTGCTCTGCTGTTATGAAATCAACTTCTTGTTTTCATATGTATCAGTGCACGTACGCACCTGTGCGGGGCACCATACCAACTGATTAAAGATCCCTCCATCCGTGGTCAGTGCTGACAGCAGCGAGCGGATGTTTGCAGATGCTCCCTTGACCGGAGCGAGCCCCGCCTGCCTGTTCGCCTGTGTATGCCCGTCGGCTTGTGCTGCGAGAAGGGGAGTTTGGAGAGAGCCCCTGGCCGCAGCTCCTCCTGGTAGCCCCTCCCTCTTGTACAGCCTCGCGGAGCCGCTGGTTCGAGCCTCGGCAGCGCCGATAGAGGAGGGTGAAGGGAAAGGGAAGGCGTGAAAAAGGGTGGTTTCGTTGAGCACCGCCGGTGGCCGGCTCCTCATTCATGCAGCGGCGGCGGCGGCGAAGGATCGGAGGCAGCAGGAGCGGCGCGGAGGGAAGGAAGGACTGAAAGTAAGCAAGCGAGCGGGGAGCCGCCGCCGCCGCCGCCGCCGCCAAGTCAGCCGCCGGCTCCGTCAGCCGCGGCGTCGTCGTCCTCCGTGGGATCGCCCGGAACGGCGGCTGGGGCGAGGAGGGGCCGGACCATGCGGTGGAAGCGGAGCCCTTGGAGGCCTTGGCGGCTTCCCCGGCGCTCGCTGCTGGCCGCCCTCTTCCTCTTCTCGCTTTCCTCGTCCTTCCTCTACTTCGTCTATGTGGCTCCCGGCATCGGTAAGTGGGAGGGAGGCAGCAGGCGCGCGGGCGGATGGGTGGGTTGGGGCATGCGAAACAACGGGCCGGCGGCGCAGCTCGCCTCAGGCACCCCGGGAGTGGGGAGCGCGACGGGCGCTGAGCGGGAACGGTGCCCGCCGCTGAGGAGAACGGAGCGAGGCAGGGAGACGCGCCGCGGCGCGGGGGGCCCCCTTCACGGGGGAGGGGCGCGCGCGCGCTCGTATTTTGGGGTGGGCAGCGCTTGCACCTCAGCCTAACGGTCGGAGGAGAGGAGCGGAGCGGATGCTGCGGGGAGGACGAGGTGGGGTGAGGAGAACCCCTCGCCTGGGCCCGAGGCCCGCCCGCCGCCGCCGCCTCACAAGCCGTGCGGCGCGCGCGTCCTTCCCTCACGCCATCCCGCCCTCTGTTGCCGCAGCCTTGGGCGGGCTCCGCGTCCCCCCCGGGGGAATCGTCGCCAGAGCCGGGGCCACCCGGGCCTTTTCGTCGCTTCCCCCCTCCCTCAAACCCTCCCTCGAATTTGCAGGCGTCGAAACTTCGAGAGAGCACGCCCGGAGGGGGTCGTCTTCTGCCCCTTTTCCGGACCGCGTGTCTCGCGCGCCCCATTCTAAGAACCTGGATGTTGTTCACCATTCTCTTGCTGTTCGCCCCGCCAAAGCAGCGCCTGTATCCTGTCGGGGTGTTGCATTTCATTATTTCACCGCATTGTAGCACGCCTGTAGTCATTTGTCTGTTGGTGTAGGTACGTTCTTACTCAGATTTTTATGTGAGATGTGTATGTGTGTAGACAGATGAGAGAGACGCTATATCTTTAATTGGGCTTTCTTAATTTCTAAAAGCAAGAATTGTCCATTTGGGCTTTGTAGTCATATCCTTTGTTGACCGGTATAATAGTTGGGGTCTTTCTATTTTTTTTTTATAAATAGACGAGAGAGTTCCTTGACATAAACGGGGCCAGTTCTTCCCAAGGTGTGATTTCACTGTTCCTCATTTCTTTCTTCCTCACTCTTGCATTGCTGACCTTGAGTAATTCACCACTTTATCCTTTCTAGCTCTAGGTAGGCGATGGAGAGGAGAGATTAGGTGTTTACATGAGAGGATGGGTGGGTATAAATTTCCTTTCTCCCTGCTACCTCAGATATTTACATAGGCCTCAGGGACAGAATTATTCTTCTGGATGATGGCGAGAGTATTGGACCGGCTCCTGAATAATTCTCAAATGGGTATTTCTTAAAAAAAAATCTAGAAGAAACCTGTAGGTAGGCCCTGCAGGTTATAATCAGCAGTGGTGTCAAGTACTGGAAGACAATTAATTGATTTATAAGACATGCTTGTTGCTTTCTTCTCTTGCCCATGCTTCCAAATACCACCAGGTATCTGTGTTTTAGGGTTAGTATTTTAGATAGGTTTTAGTTAATTGGGATGTTCTACAAGGTATCTTTTGCAAGGATTTCCCTTCACTGATGTCGAAAAGGTTGCACTTCCTGTGACTGCTATTTTCTGACTTCAGTGTCTGCTGTTTATGATCCTATTTTTGGTGAAACTAAAAAAGATTTCAGTAAGCTTTCTCTCAGATCTGCTACCTCATTATTGTTAACTTTGCATTAAGACTACAGTATTCTGTCTGAGAATAATAGCATTCAGGCTTTTCTGGTGCTTGTACCTAAGGTATATAAAAATGCTTCAGATTGTCTTTGCATACTTTTTTGTTACATCAGGAATGCTTTATAGGTAACAGCTGATTCAGTGCTAGGAGCTGCAGAATATTTTGGATTCCCAACTCCAAGATCAGAGAAAGTACTCTGACCTCAAGATTGGAAACTGGATCTCTGACACCCCTCTCTGTTGAGCTGGTACAGAAAGAAATGCACTGCCTGTGTCTCCCAAGTCAGGAATACAATCTAAGAGAAAGGAAAAAGGCAGTGTTTCAGTGGGAGGAGAGGAAACTGAAGACACCAGGATCTGAGCTGCCCTGAGATCTAGCTTCCTTCCTTCTCCCTCCAAAATACTTTTGCTAGAGGGCAAGAAGGACCATCTAGTAGAAATGAAAGGTGTGACAACAGGAAGGCAAAGTAACTTCTGCTGTTCCTACTGCCCTATGTAGGATATTCATAAAGTTTACCAAACTTGAGGGTACAACCCATAGAATTGTCCCATAATACACCAAATCCATTAAACGACTAAATTCTGCCTTTCAAGCTAAATGTCTGATAGTATGGGTATTTAGCTAAATGCTATGCAGGCTAGCCTGAGCATCAGTTGCTTTAGTCATGGGTAAACACATAGCATAATTACAACTGTAAAAACATTAAGTTGGGTTTATTGCTTGTTAAGGAGATATAGTGAAAATCATGTAACTTGTGCTCTGTAAGGCATTCTGACCTAGGGAACTTTGTGCAGTACAAAGTTGGTGTTTGTTTTTCTTTTCTTTAAATTGGCATTGCTTATCTACTACTGAGCAAATAGGTGAAAAAAGCTAGCTATTTGCATGTATGTATCTATTTTTTATTCACATGCACTGACTATATGCTCTTAAACATTTAGTTAAAATTAGTTAATAAACAATTTATAAGAATCAGCAGAGGACATAACTAATCAGTATAAAATTGCCATAAAATCAGTACATTTCACAACTATGCATTTGGTGATAATAGCACTTCTGAAATGGCCAAGGACGTGGACCCAGGAGATCGGTTGATGGGAAGATATTTCAAAGTGCAAGGCCACCACTGAAAAGTCTATTTTATGGTGAAGGCAATTAATCTTAGGCAACTGCATTAGTTTTTGTTGATTGACTATCAAGTCTTATATGAATTATTTCCTTAAGAGTGCAACTATTTGAGTAAGAAACATGTAAGAAGAGTGATAATGACTGGATTACTATGTGAAGAATATTATCTTCACAAGTGAAATCTGAGATGTGTTGAACAGTCCACAAATGCATTCACCAATTCTGTCTTGTTGACATCACACAGAGCCTCAGAATATCTTGTAAGGCAAGGTGTCAAGTTGCTTTTAGCACAATGTGAATAAACCCTCATCCTCTAAGCTGCTTGATAGGTGGGAATCTACCCTACAGCTGCACCAAGCCTTTGAAGTACTCTGGTTAAGACCTTTGCTGTCTGTCTTGGAAATGGGTCTGATTCAGTAACAAGCCCAAAGTTTGGTTGGATGCCAAAAATGGCTAAGATTGGTGGATCCTTGGATGTATTGGGTGGATATTGTTGTTGTAACTGACTTAAGGTAATTGGGAATGTATGAATGAATGCCCTCCAAAATGTCCTGTATTTGACAGCCTACTCAACTCTTGTAAACTCCAAGCTGTGACTTCCTTTATGGAATCAATCCCTCTCATTTTTGTTCTTCCACTTCTGCCTTTGACTTTCCCTAACATTGGCTTGCATACTTTTATGAAAAGGTGACTTTGTTAATGGTTACTAGCTTTCATTTATCTTGATCATAGCTGAATCAGTGAAGAACTAAAAGCTATGTACTCTTGTGTTTATACAATAATACTATTTAGCAATAGGTTAAAAGTTATTTAAACTTGAAATAACCTTTAGCAAAGAAGTGTCTGTGCATTTGTACAGCGCTTATGCAAGCATCCATATACTCCTGTTACGCCAAGTTTAGGTTGATGCTAGATGCAAACAGTGGGCTCAGTCAGAGCTCCCCTATTTGTCCTTAGAATCCTAGGCATTTGCAAGAGAGCCTGTTCTTAAGCTTTGTCCAACTACAGTGTAATAATGCTGAGGCTATTGCAAGACTTTCTTGAGTGTTATTGCTGTCTGCTAGCTTGCCACTTGTTTCTGAAATTAAACACTGAAGAGTAGAAATTAGGAGCAATCTGGGCTAAATCTAGGTTATAACAGGTTTTTCAGCCAGTTTAGGGAACAGCTGGTGATCCAAAATTATCTTTGGCATTATAATTTGGTTCAGTTTCCCTATGCTATGGCTTCAGCACTGATACTTAGTCTTTAGAGGTCCTCTCATTTTCTTGTAGCTTTGATTATTTTTCCTAAGATAAGCCCAAACATCTGGAAGTCAGAACATTTGGGAAGGCTATATTCACCTCTCAAAGTGCCACAAGACTTGTTGAGTTTGGTGCAAGGAAGTAGTATGGCAAACCTGCTGCACACATTGAATTCCTGAATTAAATAGGCAAAATAATTCAATTTGGTAGTTAGAAACTTGTAGAAGTTCAAACATAGGTATTCAAAAGATGACCTCAGCACATAAAATTAGAATTTGAGAGAAGTTAAAGAGTTACTTTTCCCACAATTGGATATGTTGTATTCTAAGTAATACTGCTCAATCTGCCACTAGCAATACAAGCATAGCCCAGAAGCCATGGATTGTGGGTTACCATTTGCTTGATAAGCCTTGCTATTCTGCAATTCCACATGAGATTTATACTGCCCTTGTATACTGTAAGTTCAGCAATGAGAAAAACCTGTCTGAGACCCTAAAGAACTGCTCTGGGTGAGGTGGGGTGGACAATATTAGACTAAATGGACCAATGGTTCGACTCTCTATGAGGTAGTTTCAATCTAGGGGCTGGCTTAAAGCAGTCCTGAAAAATGTCTTTCCCATTGTAGTCCTATTGTTATATACACCTAAGATTTTTATCAGTGGGCTGTCTTTGGGTGTTCCGACCAGGTGGCTCTGAGTGAAAGCTGTTTTGGTAGTGGCAGCTCAGTAATAGAACACCTAAGCAGAGAGGCCTCTAGTGTCTGATGTGATTTTCTGTTGGCACTAAGCAAAGATCTTTTCAGAATGCTGTCGTTTTTAAAATCCAGTTAACTTTTATGTTTTATTCTCTGTTCCTTTTATTTGATCTTGTATATCTTAATGTTGAGTATGTTTTAATGCTGCATCATGTTTTTATTATTTGTATTGCACATTCTATTTTTAAATTGTTTATAATTGTCTACATCCTTGACAACTTTGTTATAGTATGACCATTATTGAAATTAAATACTTTCTAAGTATTTTTTGTGTAC